GGCACAGAGGGGGAACAAGCTGGTGTTTCCCATGACCCTTAGTTGAAGCTTATGCTGCACTTGCCTTTCTGGCCCAGTCGCTGGGATGGGGAGCACGTGCCATGCCACTGACTGGCTGCGCTCCCCTTCTCTCCCCCTGATAACGGCAGCAAGTCTGGACAAGCACAACCGGACACACACCGGTGAGCGGCCGTTCAGCTGTGAGTTCTGCGAGCAGCGTTTCACGGAGAAGGGGCCGCTGCTGAGACACATCGCCAGCCGGCACCAGGAGGGGCGGCCCCACTTCTGCCACATCTGTGGGAAGACATTCAAAGGTAAGGGTGGGGCTCTGGCTTTTGCAGGGCTCTGCAGGAGCCGCCTCCTTCCCACGGGCAGCTTGGCATCACTGTGAGCATGTACAGTGTGGAGCTGCTGCCCACGGGCTCTCACTTCCCTTCCCAGCAGTGGAACAGCTGCGCGTCCACATCCGCCGGCACAAGGGCGTGAGGAAGTTTGAGTGCACCGAGTGTGGCTACAAGTTCACGCGGCAGGTGAGGCCTTCCCCAGCTCTGGGGCCTCTGGGCTGTGCCAGGGAGCTGGCCCTCACTGGGCCCCTCTGTGTCCCTTCTTTCACAGGCTCACTTGAGGCGCCACATGGAGATCCACGACCGCGTGGAGAACTACAACCCACGGCAGCGGAAGCTGAGGAACTTGGTCATCGAGGATGAGAAGGATGTGATGGTGGTGCTGCAGCCGCCCCCAGAGCTGGAGGTGGGCTCAGCCGAGGTGATTGTGGAGTCACTGGCCCACGGCTCGCTGCCTGAGGAGGTTCCGGCGCAGAGACTGTGCTCTAACGAGAACTTCTCCACGGCGGACGTGATTGAGCAATCTCTGATTATAACGACAACGATTCCTGAAGACTGTGAGACATAATGCAGCCACCCTTCCACTGAAACACAATAAAGTGTTGGGCTGAGCCAATCTCTGCCACACTTGTTCTTTCGAGTTGTGCACCCGTCTCTTCCCCCTAGACTAGGGGGAAGTCACCATGAGGATATGATTGACTGTCAAATGAAGAAACAGTGCAAAACAGTCAGTGTCCTTGCAGGGGGATTGGACTGACCTGCTTGTGTCATACTGTGAATCACTTTCTGACACCGGAGGAGCTGGTGCGGTGGGAGCCCCTTTCCCCCAGCCCTCTTAACCTGCTCCTCATTAAAGATTAAAGCTCAACTTCCCCCAGAGAGAGCAGCTCTGCCCTTTCCTTTAACGCTGCTTTCTCCTTTAAACTTGTGCCTTATTTCTCCTTTATTTTGTGAAGCTTCTGTCAGTTGCTCTTTCTTTCCCCATTAAAGGTGGGGCAGGACCTGTGTCTGCTCAGCATTGAGATAATGGAGCTGCAAGTTCACTTGAAATATACTTCAGCAGCCACACAGTGCCTGCTCAGGGGTAGAGACTTATTTCTGTCCCAAAAAACACGATTCAGAGTTGCTGGGGGAGTTATAACCATTTTCTGAGTGGTGCCAGGGTGGGGGAGATCCCTGTGTGCACCCTCACCCCTAGAGTCTCAGCTGTGCTCTCTCCCCTTTCCCCTTCTACTCAACAAGGAGGCAGAGAGGCTCTGGTTTAAGCATGCCCAGCACGACAGTCCCACTAAAACTTCACTCCAGGCCCTTTCCCTTCACAGACGATAGAACTGTGTAACAGGTTTTATTTAACTTTAAGCTGCAAGTAAATTTAAAAACAAACTGAGAATAAAAATACAATCTGCAAATGTAAAATGCCTTTGTTTCAAAGAATGGAGTTCAACTGTACTGGAGGATTCAACACAATGAGTTCTACAAAAAATAAATATGTATCTGTAGCTGCTCAGCGGGTGGGGTTGGGGGTCCAGCAGCGAGCACAGCCATGTGCACTATTTATAGCTCAGCAGAAATACCTCGGGCTGCAGCGCTGTCCGGCTCTCCACAGGCACAGCACAGACAGGCTGCTACCAGAACAGCAGCAGCTGCCCCGAACTGCAGGCCCACTGCTGGCCCCCCTGCCAGGCTCGGCCCACAGGCTGCACCCCGGCGTGGCGGTCTCAAGGCACTGTCAGTGTTCCAGACTGAAGAAGAGCATGGGTTCCCCATGGCTGAGGAGTGCAGTGATAAGAGTATGCGGGCTTTCCATCTCTGAATTCATTTTAAATACAGACTTTTCCTCTATTGGTTAAAAATAAAAGACCAAAAAAGCAAATGCATCCAGCCACACCTGAGCTGCTGTCACGCTTCAAGGTTCTCCTGAAGATGTGACACACAGTCTTGGGGAGCTGTGCCACAGGTTTGTCCTCTGCTTGTTCCAGAAACATTCCGCAAATAAACCACGCAGCTGCTCTTCAGCAAACATAGATAAACAGCCCACCTGGCCAGGGCACTTGGGCAAGTAAAAAGGCAAATCTTACACAGGTCAAAAAGTAAGCAAACTCCAAACAGAAAGAAGAAAAAAAACCCCTAAAATAACTACCTTTCAATCGCAACACGTGCACAGAAAGCCTGTCTCCCTTTGAGGCACAGAATAGGGGGGGAAGTCCAGACCACTGTCTTGCCAGACAGACCCCTCCCAAAAAAGAAACTGAAGGAAGCAGTTTGGTGGCAAACAAAGTATTATGGGGTGAAGGAGCTCCCAGCAAAAGGTGTCTGGTCACAAGCTGTAAGCGGTGGTGCTGTGGCATGGGTCAGCGCGATCGTTTTCCCCAGGGATCAGCTCTTGGGTCCCTGCGGGCAGCAAAGGGCTGAGGGAGGCAGCAGAGGCCTCACTGCCTGCGGTCGCACAGCAGCGCATCCCACAGCCAGAGTTCTCATTCCCTCTGTGATCAGTATGGTTTTGTTTCCAAGCACTGGTTTGCCTCAGCCTTCTTCTGAAGCAGCCCAGGTTCTGGATGAGGGACTTATGTCAAGCCGCTTCCTCTGCTAAGGCAGCTCATTGAGGTTCTGGTTGTGAAGGTTTTGGTTCTGCCTGCTAAAGCTGATGGTGTTGTCCAGTGTGATGCTGTCATCCTCCTGTGGGGTCTCTGGCATGAACTGCCGGAATATGCTGACACTGCCGTGCCAGAAGATGGGCTCGGGGAGCCGGCCCACCACGCTCCACATTCGTGTCTCTGGGTCATAGGCTTCCAGGACATCCGAGAGTTCAAACGTGTTGTCATAGCCCCCGGAGACGTAGAGCTTCCCACCAAGCGCGGCCACACTTCCCCCAACATGAACCTGCAAAGTAACAATAAACACACACCACCATCAGGGGTGTTTGCCCAATCTGGCAGCAGATCAAGGGGGTCGGTGCGGTCTGGCAGCTGCTCCTTGGAGGAGGCTCCGTGCCTGCCAGCGGCAGCTCAGGCTCTGAACCAGCACTGCCCACAGCTCTCCTGTGCTGGGCTGAACACCCAGACATGCTGCCACATCCAGGACTTTGTTTTCCCAATGACTCCAGTACATTTTAACTCCCTCCACATGCAAGGGGTTCTGATCTAAAGAGCTCTTCATTTTCCAAAGGTAAATGAAACCCATTTGTAACACTTAAGGCACCCCGGAGGATGGCAAATGTCCTACCTGAAGCATGGCAGGGATTTTATCCCATTCATTCTTTGCTGGATTGTAAACATCCACTTCAGCCGAGTCGTCTCTGGGGAAGAGAACACAAAATTACTCTTCTGCATTCTAGAAACTCCGCTTGAGTTCTTCACCAATGCCAAATTTAGGTGGGTGGGATGAGAGAAGAGCTACAGGGGCATCATAATCCCCCAAGGCTTCTCTCACCCACCCCACTTGCCAGACAGGAGGGCGACAGTGACAGGTGAGGGGTGTCTGCGACACAGAGACACTGACACAAGAATGTGAGGAGGACAAGGTCAGGGCAGCTGAAGAGGAGCTGTCAGTCCTTCCAAGACAGTTCTGGTACAGACGGAATCAAGAGGCTGTGAGGCAGCTCCAGGCAGGGCTGGCTCCAGAGAATGCCCGAGCCTCACTGCTGTGCTACATTTACTGGTATAAAACCAGTCCCAGCATAAGGGATCATCACTCAGAGGCTTTAATCTAAGCTATTAAAACAAAACCAAAAGTTGAATTTGCCACTTTTACTTGTCACCTATTCCTCTGGCCTCCAAAGATTATCCCATAGCTCTACAGGGAGCAGCAGCCCAGGCACAGCACATGAAATGAGGGGAGAAACCTGACCCCGATCATCTCCTCACTGACTCCTGCAGATGCACAAGCAATCCAAAATCCTGAAGTGTCAACCATCAGTATTTTAAAATGGACAAGAAAAAGGAAATTCTATAGAATCAGCTTGTGACAAAGAGCTGAACAGCTGCAACACCCCGGCAGGATGGACTGAAACCAGGTGACTCGAACAGATGCCAGCAAGACACTCAGCTGGACCCAAAGGGTTATAAATAAAAGGTCTTGGGCCAAAGTTGCTGCTTTATGCAAAGCCAAGAGGAGATTAAAAAAAGAGAAGAGGGCTGGAGGCCCTCACAGAGGTCTCTGTTTGCTCAGAGTCAACACAGGGAGGGAGATGAAATGCTCCAGGCCCTAGCATGCTTTCCCGTTTATTTTTAATTAAGAGGATAACTGAAGTATTTGCGCCACCAGGACAGCTTCAGATGGGTAATTAAGTCCCAGTTTGGAAAGGCACTTAAAAATAGTGACCAATCACTTTATCTTCAGCCTTCTTATCGCTGCTGAGACGGAAGATGTCCTCTCCTGCGCTACAGTTTAATGTTTTCTTGGAGCTTATGTGCTTATTTATAGCAGCGAGGGGGGCTGAACCAGGAGCCAAGGAATCCGAGAAGCCAATTTCCAAGCAGTGCTGCTGACTTCAGCCAGATTTACACCTGGTTGTTCCCAAGCCCGAGGTTACACTCAGACATTTTTACACAATTTTAAGGGTAGCCCCACCAGCACCATCAGGGGAAGCACTGCTCTGCTGTCCCAACCCAGTGCCCTCCTTCCAGTACCTCCAAAATCCCACACACCTTCTCAGGGAAGCTCTGGACCCTTCCCAAGGGGACATGGGAGGGAGGTGATGGCTCCCACTACTCACCTTATGAAGTACATGAGGCCGTTGAGCGTGACCGTCTTTGGGGTGAAGGACCAGGGGGGCAGGTGGCCGCAGTTGACAAGGGACCAGAGGTCACTGTCGGGGTCGTAGCACTGCATGACCATGGACTCTTCTCCAGCCAGGGAGCCGATGGCGAACAGCTTCCCGCGGCACGAGGTGGTGGAACAGTTGTCCATGGGGTACAGCATGGGCTGAAGGACTTCCCAGCTGTCCATGGTGTGGTCATAGCGCTCTGTGCTGTCAGAGGACACGACGTAGAGCAGCCCATCCAGGACTGTGGAGCTGTGGTATTCCCTGGCTTTCAGCATGGGCGACACCTCCGTCCACTCATTCACACTGGAATTGTACCTCCAGACACAGTCGTACAGCCTGGACCCATCTGAGCCCCCTGCGGCACAGCACGACACGCGTCAGAGTGGGGCTCCACACCGATGCCTTTGCTACAGCTCCAGCTACACCTTCCCCATACAGCCCCTGCTGCTGCCCTGGGCTGTGCAGTGGGGCAGCATTTTGGTTCTGGGGGGGGACACTAGTGTTAGAGCTGGTGCAGGGCTGCCACTTCAGCTATGGGGATGTAGCTCAAAGGAGGCATTAACAGCCAAATTTATACACTGGTGTCACCTTGACAGAAGTAATTGTAGCCCCAGCGGACTGCAAGGAGGCAGGATTTGTGCTGAGGAAGGTACTGTGACTCACGGGGGCTGGCTGAGGAACTCGGGGCTTTCTGACACACCTATGCCTCAAGCACATGGACTGGCTTGTGATTCACAGGGCTCTGAACCCAAACACCTTCACAGAGAGAAACTCAAAACCCTCCTTAAGTAACCCATGTATCCCAGAGTGACAGTTAAAACATTCTAACTGCAAGATCTGTGACTTCTGCC